CTCCTGAGTCTTCCCTAAGTCATATCACAGTGTCCTCATAGACAACAGCCATTTTTAAACTAGTATAGAAATACTAGCTTTCCTCTGCACTCAGGAAGGGACCTTCTTCGCTCCCATCCATCATTCCTGATACAAATGCTCATGTCATCCATCAGGGAAGGGCGAGGCTAGAGGGAAAAATCTATTCAAACCATGAAGCTGTTGATGAGGTCATTTTTTAAATACTATTTTTTAGTTGTAGTTGGACACAATACCTTCATTTTACTTATTTATTTTTATGTGGTGGTGAGGATCGAACCCAGGGCCTTACACATGCTAGGGGAGCGCACTACCGCTGAGCTACAACCCCAGCCCAATTGGGACATTTTTGACCTGAAAGATTTTTGAAACTTTTTCTTCTTTAGCTAGTGCATAATTTGTACTTCCACCAGAACATTCTAAGACAGATGCAATGACTTATCTCATCACAAGTGAGGGGAAATTATAACCATGGTGGAGAAAATTGACAAACACCGCCTCAGCCAGGCCACGGAGGTCAGTGTCAACAGCAATGGACGAGTCCTGTCGATGGTACACCCCGCCTTGCCGTGAGGTCAGGACGAAGCACTCCACCCGTGGGGTCTTCTCCCAGTAACCTGTAACACCAGCCTAATCATGAGAACAACTTCTGCCCAATGTCAGGAAAATGCATCCCAAAATCTATCTGGTAAGTGCTCTCCAAACTCTCAAGGTCATTAAAAATAAGAATAGTCCAAGCAACTCGTAGTCAAAAGAAGCCCAAGGAGATGTGATGACTAAATGTTATGTAGTACCTTTGCTGGGATCCTAGGACAGAAAAAGGACATTAGGTTAAAACCAAAGAAATCTGAATAAGATGTTGTCTTTGGTTAGCAATGTATTGACATCAATTCAACTAATGACAAATGTATCATGCTAATTCAAGATCTTAACAGGAAACACTATATACCTGTGGGAAGGGAGGGTATATATAAACTCTGTGTCAGATGCTCACTTTTTTCTCTAAATCTAAAACTATTCTGAAAAAATGCCTGTGAAAATGTGTATTTTAGAATTAATAGATTCCTGTAGCTGCAAAAGGGTTTTCTATATATCAAAGACCAGAACAGATCCTAGAAATGATTTTAGGTGGTGCATAGACATAGCCTTCAGTGACTCTGAATCTCAGAATTAGACATTCCTTGGTTGGTAACTTTTCAGCCCTTCTGACTCAGTATCAGAGAGGAACTCTGGTTTTTAGTTCTAGGAATCCTTCTCTAACCTTTGCCAGTCTCCTTAACAAGGAAAGAAGAATCTTAGCCTCAGAACTTTGCTTTCATTATTTTACTATCTCTGTTGTTCTTATTTTTATTTTTAAAATTTGTAATACTTGGGCTGGGGATGTGGCTCAAGCGGTAACGCGCTCACCTGGCATGCATGGGGCACTGGGTTTGATCCTAGGCACCACATAAAAATAAAATAAAGATGGAGAGAATTAAATTACAGCAGATGGGATAGAGAGAGAAGATGGGAGGGGAGGGGAGGGGAGATAGTAGAGGATAGGAAAGGTAGCAGAATACAACAGTTACTAATATGGCATTATGTAAAAATGTGGATGTGTAACTGATGTGATTCTGCAATGTGTATACGGGGTAAAAATGGGAGTTCATAACCCACTTGAATCTAAAGTATGAAATATGATATGTCAAGAGCTTTGTAATGTTTTGAACAACCAATAAAAAAATAAAAGTAATGCTAGTCTGAATTAAATATGCTCCTTTAAATAAAATAAACAATAAAAAATAAACAGTAAAAAAACAATAAAAAAAGATGTTGTGTCCACCGAAAACTGAAAAATTAATATTACAAAATTCTCTCTCTCTCTCTCTCTCTCTCTCTCTCTCTCTCTCCTCTCTCCTCTCTATCTTTAAAAAAAATTTTTGTAATACTTGAGGAATGTCTGTTTATGTGCTGCATTTGATCCTAGTTTCTTATTAATTATAGTGGCATTTTTGTTTGATATAAATTTATCTTAAGTTAAAATAAATAAATAAAACTTAATTTAAAATCCTTAAAAATTAAGACTACTTATGGTTTTCAGATATAGCAAACATCAGGACAGTGGTATTCAAATGACAGATGCTAAGAACCAATGACCAATACCATTATGTCTATAGCCCTTCACATGGCACCCAAGATCTTCCCCACCTGAGGGTCCCTCTTCAGTCCCCTGCCATCAGATGCTCCACCTGAATGCTCCCACCCCCAGGGTGACCAAGATGCCAGGAAGTCAGTAGTGTTATGCCCAGGCACTGTGGGCTAGGAGAAATGCAAGAGACCCATGAATAGCCAGGTTAAATCCAATGTATAGGTACTGCATTCTTACTTCGAGAATCCCAAATCAGTTTTGCTCCCAAATCTGAAACATTAAAGAGCAGGAAATAAAAATGAAAGTGGAAAATTTCATATGTGGCCTCATGTGTATAAGGCGTAAACGAAATATATTGAGTTTTGTGTTTAGATTTGGGTTCCCATCTCCAAGATATCTTATTATGTGTATACAAATATTCTGAAATCTGAATATCCAAAATCCAAAACACTTCTGGTCCCAAACTTTTCAGATAAAGGATATTCCACCTCTCGTGACCTTTATCCAGTTTTCCTTTCCTCGTGTGGCTTGATTTCCCCTAGGATCCACAGCCTTACTGTGCTGCAGACGGTTCTCATATGGGTCAAGTATGGCAGTGAGTGTCGAAACAACCAGTTCCCTTGGGCTCCATGGGCCTGGCCAGGTCAGGAGTCAAATGCAACATGAAAGTACTGCCAGGTAGGTACAAGTGTGATCCCAATCCCAGGCCCTGACATGTCACCCATCTGACCTGGAGCTCCATGTAACCCCTAAGCAGAGGATCTTGCTAGCACTGGGTTCAAAGCCTGGGGGATCCTGGGGGAGGCATGTCAGCTCTTATTTTACTTGTCTGCCAAGTGAGGGTAACAACAGCCCCTGCTTTATGGGATTATTGTCTACATAAATGGGTTTGTATCAGTACAGCATTTAACACAATGCTAGTTCCAAATAAGTGCTCAATAATCACAAACTGTTTTCTGGTCATCTTCTGTGTACTTCTACTTCCTTCATTGCAAAATGTAAATGTGAAAGTACTCACCTCCTGAGACTGTGTCAGGCATCAGGAGTCAATGCACATAAATCCTTTGTATTCTGACCTGGCTGCTAGCAAACACTCAGCAACATACAAATATTTATTACCTATGTTTACTTATTATCAGTATGATGATTTTGATGGACCAGCAGTTCCAAGACTTAGGAGGTCTCTCCAGTTCTAGTATCTGTTTCACAGATACTAGAAGTGGTCAGGATAGGCTTGAAGGCCAGAAGCTCAAGTGTACCTAAATCATGTCTGTGTGCTCAATGGGACTGAAGGTACACGTCGGCCTGCGGGTGTCCAGCAGCATGTGAGCTGCTCCTTCTCCTAACAAGGTGTCTGCTTGTGAGTAAAGAAGCACAGGTTCTACCTGGCCACTAGATTTGCACAACCAGGCCTGCGTGCAAGTCAGCTATTTCAGGAAGCCTAGGAGGAAAGGAATTCTTTCTCTTTCTACAAATAAGCAACAATGAAAAGGGCAAAGGACTTTGCAGGTCCCCCAAAGTGCACCTGACTGCAAGGGAATGTAAACCCATAAACTTAAAAAGTACAGAAACCAAATGATATTTTCTCTGTGTTTCAAGAGCTAACTGGACAAATTTTTTTTTTTTTGTCCCTTTCTCTCCTTCTTAGAGAGCCTTCAGGGATGCATAGTCCTGTTTATGGAGCTCTGGAAGCAGTCCTGAATTGTCATTGAACTTACCTGGCTGTCTGGATCAGTCACTTCTGACTGGACCTCAGTTTGTCCATTTGATAAATGAGGATGTTGGATTATATGACATCCAACATAGTGTCTAGCAATCACTTATTGATTTTAATCCTGGTAAGAACTGGAAATTCATTCTCTGGAGTCTAATTCAACTTTTTTTTTAATATTTATTTTTTAGTTGTAGTTGGATGCAATATTTATTTATTTATTTTTATGTGGTGCTGAGGATCAAACCCAGGGCCTCACACGTGCTAGAAGAGCACTCTACCACTGAGACACAACCCCAGCCCTTTGATTCAACTTTTGGAAGGAACCAAGAGTTGGTTCTGTAGGCTCCAAAAGGACTTTCAGACCAAAGGCCATTCTCTGTGATCCACGGTAGGTTGTCAAGGCCAGCAAATCCTTGCATGGACAACTGTGTGCATCCAAGTGCTGGCAGAGCTAGCAATTGGTTTCCCTGCCTAGTTTTCTTGTCCCTCTCTTCTAGAAGAGAATCTATTGTTGTCCCTATTGGGAACTACCTCTCCTGCAAGCTGTGAGTCTGTCAATCCCACAGCCTCCTGCTCCAGCTCCCTGAAATAAGGTCATTGGGTGTATGATCTAAAAAGGATCAACTACCCCTTGAGGAGACAGATGTGGATTCTGGAAGGTCAAGAGGGTCTCTCTAAAAATCCCCCAATACTCAAAACTATTGGGAGACAAGCCGTCAATGCCATTCATTGAGGGAGCTTAGAAGAGACCAGAGCCAACCGAATGGAAAGTTCAGGGGAAGAAGACAGGGAGAGAAGGAGGAGAAAGAGGGAGGGTTAGAGGAAGAGGAAGAAAAGACGGAAAGGAGAAAGAGAGGGAGGGATAAGGAGAGATGGGGAAAGAGGGAGAGGGAAGGACCAAAGGAAGAGAAAGAGAGGGAGGGAAGAAGATTCTGCCAATGACTTAATATTTTGATTTGAACCTCTATAGAGCTAGCCAGACATGATGGAATATTTATAGTTTGTTTTTCCAGTTTATATGAATCCATGACTTTTTTTGTTTTTTTTCCTTCCAAGTCCATAGGATTCTTCCAGTGGGTATTCATTCCCCCCAAATATTAAAGCCGCTACAATTGGAATATTAGAGATGGAGTGAACTCATTTCAGAAAGAAAACAAGGTTTATTTGATGAATATAAATAAGGCGATCAGCACAAAGTACTTCTCATACACATGATAACAAATTTATGGAACTGTACATACCTTGTACATTGTACTTCTACTAGACACAAGGTTACAATGACTGGCTAATACATGCCCACTGGTAGTTTCCAGGGTTCCTTATTTTTATTTTTTTTCATATCGATGTCCATAATCACATGGTCAATATCACAACCCACATGCCACTCACTTGAAGAAATATTACAAGAAGCACTATCAAACGAGGGTCTCAGGGAAGTAGATACACTGACCCCTGGCAGCATTCAAACGCCACTCTACACACAAAAAAAAAACAAAACAAACAAAAAAAAAAAACGTCGCAGAGAGAGCTGATGTCAACACGTTTGAGGTCTCATCAGAAACACTGTTTAAAAAGTAAAACCCACTCTCAAATGGAAGTTGACACGCTGTTAAACGTGCACACTGGATACACAAAAATCATTAAATACAAAATTGAGACTGTACATAGAAATCAAATGGGGTAGAAATCACAAGCCTGCGTCTGCCCACAGAAAGACTTAGACCAACTTTTCCTAAATGTTAGCCCAAACTTTTTTTTTTCCAACTGCATTATGATTAGAAGGGAACTTGCTAAAGTTTGTGCAAAGGAAATAGCTTCCCAACTTCACAGTGTTTGTTGTAAACCCAGAGGCTATTTTCAATGTGTGAAAGGTATTTTTGTGTGTGTGTGCAACCCCCAAACATTAGAGAATATGACATGAAATGAGAAAAAGATACTGTAGATAGAATTTAATTTTAAGAGACTAAATTAGATGCTTGCATATAGGTAAGGTCAATCATACTTTCAACCAACAAAAGTAGGGTCAAAATGATCCCCCAAACAATATCTGTGACAAAATTGGCACGGACATAGAAATAGCTAACTATTATGGTCAGGTGTATTTATTTGTATTTAAAAAAATTTTTTTTTCCTATTTTAAGGACCCTACTTTCCCTACTGGATTTCGTACTTCCTACTTCAAGTATTCAGTTGCAGAGTTCAGGCCAGGACCTGGTTACAGGAGGCAGTGAGGACAAACTGTTCATGGGGATGTGTCTGTGGCCTGTGGTTTCAGTGTGACATTGTGTCAAAATGTACTAAAGAAGCTTGCAAAGAACTCTGCTCACTCCTCCAACTGAGACCTAGATCCCTTGAATAGTTAAAGGACAAACTTTTTAAACATGAATGTATTTGGATTGTTTATGCAACACGAAAGCTTTTACATAGTTTGCTATCCTGACGACAAGAACAAAGCCAGAAGCAAGAAACCAGCTTGAATATATGACTCCTAATGCACCGAGAGGGAAGGGTGCAGCTTAGAGACGGTTTTATCTTCCCCAACAAATAAGAAGTTTGTCTTTTAATATCTCTATGGCTCACGAGAGAGGTCCAGAGTTAATTGCACCAACATTTTAAAAAGTAATAATGACTAAATTCAATGCAGGACTTCAGGAACATCTGTTTAGAATCCTTTCCACAGCAGCAAAAAAAGACAACTATATTTATTAAGGCCACTCATGCTTAAATTCACTGTTTGTCCTTTAAAAATGCAGGTTTTCATCTCCCACTTGCATCCACGTGGAAGGGTTTCTTCCATCGACAAGAAAATGGATCAATACAAGAGTTGCAGGTGTTTTGCCAGACTCAGTCGTGAGTTTTACGAAGTTACTACAACTTTAATTTTTTTTTTCATCTTCAGAGGAAGCAATAGGAGTTGAATTCTCCTTAGTACCATGTCACTATATGTAAAAGACCTTGAAATTGGGTCTCTTTCCCTGGCATGTGCTTTAAATAATGACTCTGTATCCACATACGTGTTGTGTCAGGCTATATACAGATACACAGCTTTGGGGATTATTCCTCATTCATCAATGTTTTCGTGTTTGATGCTGAAAATGCTTTGGAATCCATGTTGCAGACATTTAAAAAAAAATGAGAAATGACCCTTCCTGTCTAGAAGATCTAAGCTTACACTGTTTGCACAGCTTTGGGATCTTGAAGTGTGAAGGCGTCCCAGCTTCTTCATGGAGACCTGGGAGTATGGGAATGGTAACAGCCTGAGGCTGGATCAATCCCAGCCCTGGGGTGCAGGGAACACAAGGAGTTGATATGCAGGCGCCTCAGGCTGTTGCCACTTCCAATACCTAAGCAGGGAAAGAAAATTATGAATGAACAATTTAGATGTGCCATGCATTGTCAGAGACACACACCATATTCTCATAAGGCGATTTCTTGGCAAGTATTAGTGGTTTAAAAAATTGATATCATTTCCAACCTGGCCCAGAGGTAACTACTAGTTTGTACCATCAAAAACACGGTTCTTCGAACAGCGGATTAAAGAAACAGAGGAGGGTAAAGGCTCGCCCTTTTTGGTGTTTTGGTTTCTTTGTCAAATGCTCCATGCACCGTGGTTGACAAACACCGCCAACACCACTCACTCGCGCGTGACAAATGTACACTGTTTGGTAATCTAATGCATCAGGAATGACCACTGAGACGGAACCAGCAGGATAACTGGAGATGAAGCTAGAGGTCCAACAGAGGCTGAATCCATACTTAAAATCCCATGGAGTTCCAACATATCCAATGAAGGTAAGTAACAGAAATAAAACGCTATCAAATAAAGCATTCAGAAGAGATGGTCCCATGTTCAATGCCCAAATCCCAACATAAAATAGAGGATGTGTCTTTTTTCTCCACCTGTGTTTTCTTCCTTTCCAATCCAAATCCATGAGAAACGACATGAGAGGATGAAGGAAATACCAAGTCGAACAAAATTTCACTGGAGAATGAAAGTGAAAACTCCCCTTTGGTTCTGCTGAGCCGCTCCCGGTGGTGGTGGAGGACAGTGACATGAGCCCACTGCAAAGGAGTGTCAGAATATTGCCGCAGAGCTGCACTTCCCCTGGGTTCAGCCCTTCTGATAGCTGCAACAAGAAAGGGCATGATTTAGCGGGGAGAGAAACAGGCTGCAATATCTGAACTAAGCCTGGCAGAATTTCTCCCATCCCCCACCCCAGCATTGCCTCTTTGCCACTCTCTTGGGGAAGGGACAATGGGGAGGGAACACAGAGAAGGGACAAAGTGAACAGAAAGTTAAACCATGTCCTGCAAACGCAGCTGAGAAGACACCTCATTCAAGCTGTGTCACATTATAGGTTCACAGAGAAGAGAGATAGGCCAAAAGGTTTCAGTGATTATTTCTGTTTTCTTTTTTTGGTACCAGGAATTGAACCCAGGAGCACTTAACCACTGAGCCACATCCCCAGCCCTTTTTATATTTTATTTAGAGACAGCGTCCTGCTGAGTTGCATAAGGGCCTTGCTAAGTTGCTGAGGCTGCCTTTGAACTTGCATTCCTCCTGCCTCAGCCTCCCAAACTACTGGGATTACAGGTGTGCGCCACCAGGCCCAGCTCCATGATTATTTCTATATGACAAAAATTTGTGTCTCCCCCCCCACCACGGCCTTAAATTTTTTTTTTTACAATGACTCTGGTTTTAATTTTTTTTAAAACTTGTCTCTTAGAGATTAGAGAGTTAAATACAGTTAAGATACCAAAAATACTCTTTCACATACACCATCAACAGCAACCGTTTGAAAGAACGTTGGAGCAGTGATTCCACTCATAGGTAGATAGCCAACAGGTCTGAAAATAGGAACTCAGATACTTGAATATAATTATTCAAAGTATAATTATTCACAATAGCCATTCATCCCCAGATGAATGGAGAAATGAAATGTGGCATGGGGGTATAAAAAGAAATGAAGTTCTGGGGCAATCCACAAATGGACAGATCTTGAAGACATCATGCTAAGCGAAATAAAATACACCCTCTGCCCCCAAAAGACAAGTACTGTATGATTCCTTTACATGAAATATACAAAATCGACCAAATCATAGATGCAGAAAATAGATTATAAAATTACCAGAGGCTGGAGAGAGTGGTAGGGGAAATGGGGAGTTATTTGTCAATGGGTACAGAATGATTTGGGGTGATGAAAAAGTTCTGGAAGTAAATAGACTAGTACAATCTGATAAAGTTACTCAGTGCCACTGAAACATACTCTTAAAATGGTTAAACTGGTAAACTTCATGTTATACAAGAGAAATTTTAAAAGAATATTGACATCTCCTTAAATAGAGATTGCAACAGAGTTGGCTTCCATTGCCACATCCCGTGGCGCGTGCATATCCTTCTCGCCAAACATAGATGCAACAGTCATCTACGTGCCTTCTTCATTCCCTGGGGATAGGTGTCCAGAGTGCTCCAAACTGTTATCACCATCCAGGGTGAAGAAGAGGGCACCGCACAATTGTCCTGAGCTGAGTGAGCAGAGGGGACCATCCACACTGCTTTCTTCCCTGGCTGATGCTCAGTGTGTGTGTTTCTGCCATTGTTATTCACATGGGGTCTCTGAGTGCTTGGGGAGTTTCCAGACACAGGGCAATGGCACAGTGATCCATCTGGGGACCACTGCAGGGAGGAGAAAGATAGAACACACACACACACATCACACTCATGCCACGCGCACACACACAGACGCACGCAGACACCACATTTTTCAGATAGCCTGAGCCATCTGATTTGGTGGTTGCTACACCACATTTCTCAGGTCATACCGACTAATGAGAATGCCAAAGACCCTGGTGTCTGCACAGGTAGGCAGCTATTTCAAGCCATCATTAAGCAATGCAAATGAAATATGTGGCTTGGATGAACTCTGCTAATTCATACTCTGAGGAATTTGGTGTAACTCTTCTGGTTAAGAAACTTGAATCGGGGCAAAAAAAAAAAAATGACTTTTGCAGAGCCAGAAAGTTAGGGAGTTCCTAGAGCAGATCATATTACTCATTCTGGCACATAAAATCTCTGCAAACTTTGTATGAAAATTGTAAGTCAGAGCACGCCTTCTGTTTCATGAGCTGTGCATAGCTCTAATTCTTTTGTGCATTAAGCATTTCTTAATCATCCTCTTAAAGGGCTGACCAATATAATAAGAGGCCACATGATTAAAAGGTAAAGAGAAACCCAAAGCAGTATTAAAATGCACAGGTCATTTTTTTTTTTTTTACATATGGGGAATCGAGTGAAAAATAATTACAATGAATGTCCAATGTCCTTGATGTTATTCCAAGATAAAGTAGCAAAGAACAATCATTTATTCAGTCGTGAGAAAGGTTTCCAGCTGAGCAACAGGTCATGGGGCAGAATACGGGGGCCTCCTGAGTGCAGCTTCGCTGTTTGGGGTAAGGTTTACTCTGTGGAGATTTCTTGAAAAGTATTGCCACTCCTCCATCAAAAACTCCATTCACTGAGCGGCTGAAATGGGCTGGTGGGGGGGTCCTCAGATGATCCCTTGTTGAGGGCCACATGAGATTATGTTTTTAAAAAAGGAATCTTGGCTTTGGTCAATGAAGCAATGGGGCTGCTTCACCCATTTGGTGGTTGCTAGACAGCATTTCTCAGGTCATACCTACTAATGAGAATGCCAAAGACCCTGGTGTCTGCACAGGTAGGCAGCTATTTCAAGCCATCATTAAGCAATGCAAATGAAATATGTGGCTTGGATGAACTCTGGCCAGTCCTCCCTCACCTGGATGGTCAGGCCAGCAGCCCTAACTACCCCCAGCATCCTCTTTGACAGCACCCAACTCTGCAGTCTCTTGGAGCAGCCAAAAATGCTATTTCCAGGGGACAATAACTCCATCCTACAGTCCCTATTTATACTTTATAACCCTGTTTACAGCCCGTTTACAGTCCTGTGGCCCCAGAATGGCAGACCCATGCCTCAGGCCACGCTGGAGAGGCCTCCTTTGGCCTCTCTTTCGAGCTCAACTCTCAGCCCTAACATTCGTCTCTTCAGTTCCACCTATGCTGAACTTGCTGTTCCTTTATTCTCACTGCTTGTCTCTCTAACATGCACCCACAGCAGCTGTCAATCTGATTAATACCCATTTCTTCTTCAGTCTCCGCCTAGAAGTTGTGCCTTCTAGGAATCCTTCATTGCAGGATCTCAAAACTGCTGTACATGGGTGGCCACTGAGAACTTGAAATGTGGCTGGTCCACACTGAGATGTGTTGTGAGACTGAAACACACATCAGATTTTGGAAAAAAAAAATTAAATCAGCCTTTATTGTTATTTATTTATATGTGGTGCTGAGAGTTGAACCCAGTGCCTCACACATGATAGGCAAGGGCTCTATTACTGAGCCATGACCCCAGCCCCGATTTTGAAAATTTAATATTAAAAAAAGGTAAATAATCTGTGTGACATTTAAAATTTTTTTTGTTGTTGTAGTTTGACACAATACCTTTATTTTGTTTATTTTTATGTGTTGCTGAGGATCAAACCCAGTGCCTTGAAATGAGCTAGGCGAGCACTCCATCACTGAACCACAATCCCAGCCCCGTGTGACTTTTTTTTATACTGACTTCATGTCAAAATGATATTTGAGATATACTGAATCCAATAAAATATATTACCATCCAGTAATACTTCTGCTAAACCGTCACAGTCTAGACTGTAAGCTCCATGAGGGCAGGGCACAAAGGCCAGTCTTGCTCACTTAGGATCTCTCGTTCCTTATACAGTTTCTAGAACAGGTCAGTTTACTCATTCCTTCCACAGATATTAGTCATTAGAGGCAGAATCCTAATGACTACCTTCCTCCGTAAGATTTCCCACCATAAATCCCTAACGCTGGAACTAAAATGATATCAGATGACCATTGTACAACTCTACAAAGGTATTTAATGGCACTAACAGTTGACTTTTAAGTTCACCAAAAGGGAGACTACTGTCTGAATGGATCAAATGTAATGACAGGAGCCCTCATTAGCAGAGACTTTCCTCCCACTGTTGCAAAAAAGAAAGTCACTGAAGTCTGGAACACTGCAGAGGTTCAAGTGCTGACTCAGAGGGAGCCATAGGGTAAGAACCTGAGAGCTTTGTTCAGGTTGTGAGGTAGCTCCCAGCTTTCCCAAGCAAGAAAACAGGAACCCCGGTCCTATAACGATGAGACTCTTCAATCTTCCAATAACCTGAATGAGTGTGCAGGAGGATGCTTCCAGAGCCTTCACTCAGCCAATGAGCCCCATCCCCAGCCCTATTTCATATTTTATTTAGCGAGAGGGTGTCACTGAGTTGCTTAGCACCTTGCTGTTGCTGAGCTGGCTTTAAACTCCTGATCCTCCTGACTCAGCCTCCAGAGCAGCTGGGATTACAGGCATGCACACCTCACCTAGCCATCTCTGTTTTTTGATAGGAAAAGATGTCCCCAACTTTTCAGTGAAAAAAAAAGGCAGATTACCATTTTATAGGAATAATTCAACCTTATTTTTACATCTACATACGCATAAATGTAAACATTTGCAAGTGTACATACCAGAATATTAATATTTTCCTCTGGGGGGTGTTTAGAAGTTTTCTACTTAGGATTATTTTTTGGCATCATTTTGGATATTTTAAACTGAAGAATGTGTGAATAGTATCTTACTAAAATAAAAAGCTATTTCCTTTGTGGGAAAAAAGAATCAGTACTGGGTGGATGGTGTTGCTTGGCTCAGGGGCGGGAGCAGGAGGGTCGGTGGGCCAGGCCAGAACAGCAGTGAGATTCCACCCCAGGACAAGCGCCCCCAGGAGAGCAGGCTATAAACCTGTGGTGTCTCACAAATATTCCTTCAGACTGTTTTTCTTTGGAATAAAGACACCTGCCCGATTATGGCTTTCTTCTCCTGCCCTTTCAGTAGTGATTTGCAGGAACAGGCTGGGAGAAAGGGGTCTTTGGTAAACACGGAGGGGTTAAAGGGGAAACTGTTTAATAACAGTAGTAAAACGCAGGCTATTTTTGACATCTGGGCTAATGTCCATTATACTCCATGTGCTTTCCAAATGTGTGCAGTACGCCCCCAGGTACAAAAAC